TGGATCGTATTGTGGATGCAGACCGAATCAGGGCCGTGAAAATGATACTGCTGAATGTGTCGACGTTGAAAAGGTTGGATTTCTCAGAAAAAAACTTGAGATTTCATTCGCGTAGCTCATCTGCTCTTGAGCCCGAACTTCAGTTCCTCATCATAAGAAGGACAAAACAGGAGAACACATTAAATGTTTTGTATTTGATTGTTGATTCCTTTTTTAGCAAATAAAAATTCACTGGCAGTTCAAAAGTGAATATTTTGAGTACACTGCAAGAGTGAGTTGATTTGATCGTCGCAAATCAATTGCATAGCTAGTATCTCTGAAACATTGCGATTTCCGTTCCTATTTCATCGTTAAACTACGAGCGATTTATTCCAGGTGCCATTGGAAATCCGTGTCACAGAGCGTGATGGTGATAAATTGATCTACAGTAGCGATTACGGAAGTCCAAATTCACCGAATTATGTGGATATCGTTGATAAATTCAAGAAAGGATTAGGTGAACTGATTAAAAAGACCACATCAGGACCATCGTTTGTAGCTGATGATGTAAATTACATCACTAATCCTAAAATTAAAAACAGGTCAGTAAAATGAAGTTGGTTCGAAGATAATCATCCAGTGTTGGAGATAAATTTAGAACGATGATTGCTCATTAAAGTATGTCTTGAAATTTCTTAATATTTCAACTCAAAATTTCGAACACGCAATTCAAAACGTTCCCAGTGACGTGCAGTCAGTGAGCAATTCGCTTGAAGATGATTTCAGCACATGGGATAAAGGATTGCTGGTCAACGCAACCGCTGATTTTAAGTCACCAGTCGACAAGTGTGAATTCTGGAAAGAGCTCTCGGAACAAATCAAATCCTATAGTAATAAACTTGGAAGCAGCAAACTTACGGTTGCTTCGGATATAGATCAGTTGGACCCATGCAGGTTTCTCCTACTTGTACCTTATCTTTGCATTGAATTAAAACAATTGTTCGTTCATTGTCAGATCAAAAATTCCTTGCTGTAAGTGCAAAGTTTGCCCACATATTTACAAATGACGGACTGTTGTGAATTTTGCTTGAAAGATGAAATATTTCTGATTAGATGCTTGAAGCTGGAGCAAAAGCCAATTCTATCACCTCATTGCATCATTAATGATGCATTTCATTCAGAAAAGAAGAACACAAAGGTAAGGTGTGCGGCACAACATACTGCCAACCAGAACTTGGTGAGGTTTGTATTGCTGGTAAGGTGTGCGGCTGTCCAAATGGACAGAAGAGAACTGGTCTTGATAAACCATGTAAACAGGTTAGGACAAACGCTTTCTTCATTATACATCTGAACGAAACTTTTTGATCTCGTAAACATTCGTTTGATCAATCCTCTCAGATTTCGCAAGAAGAATATCTCCGTGTGTAATTTTCCGTCATGCAAAATGGTTTCATTGAAATAATGCATTTAAATCCATGCAAATGTTCTGTTTCTAGAGTGAAACTCTTTATCGTTTCATCATTTCTGTGTGCAGGTAGAATCATGGAATTTGCCGTTGTGGGTGGCTCGTGAGGGCAACACGACGTTGAAATACACGAATGATTTGGCAAATCCACTGGATGAAATGCACAAAAAATTAGTGAGCGGATTCGAGAAGGGTATTGCTGAGTCGTACGCAAAAACGCCACTCAAAGATGGCTTCGTTGTTGCAGAAGTTAACGATATCGTTAATCCAAATACCATCAATAAGGCAAGTTTCGCTGATAACGATTAGTAATCGCTCAGGAACTTCACTTGAGAGAGTTGAATATTCGTGTATATTTAAACAATGCTACATCGGTTTCAGTTCTTACTCACAGTCACAATCAGCAGAAAGAATTTTTAGTT